CACCGTAGTTAAATGTCTGCGCATGTACGACGTTGTAGTGGCTAAGTAACGTGCTTTCAGACGGCCAGAACCAAGTTGTCTCAGACTAATTACAAACAAATCAAGTTTCTTTCATTTATTTTTCGAGACAGCGGTTGTTTCTTTTGTTTTACTTTGAAATGTTGCGCTGGAAATGGCGAGCATTCCCATGGTCGTTTCATATACATTGAACAGCTAAGTATGTGAGTTACTCTTATGAAAATGCTTCATCTAACTATTCTTACTTACACAATATCCATTTTAAGCCATTTGTTAAGATTGTTGACGCCTTCGCTGAGTCCCACAGCAAACCCAGTAAAACCAATGGCCAGGATAAAAGAAGCGATCAGAGATGCCACAGGGACACGTGACAGGCAGATACAGCAACATTTGTTACAAGAGGTACAACACGCTGAGGATTCAGATAAAATAATAACGAATTAAGAAAATCACTTGCGTTGCCTGCGAACAGGTTCCCCTTCGTGGAAGTATAAAGAGAAAAAAAGAAATGGCTCGCGCGTCTTTACGCCCATTGACACTAAGTTACAACGCCTAGAAGGCAAAGTACACGTCTCGTCCGAGAATTTTAACAATTTCTTTTTATTATTAAGCAATAACCAACAAGCACCTCTAAGATTTTCATTGTTTGTACTTTAACCTGGGTAAGAGCAGGATTCAAGCCTGGTGTTGGCCTGCTTTTGTGCTAGTGTTACTTCCATAATGGTCACATACCTCTTTAAAACTTGATCAGATAAGTAAAATGTATTTTGAAAGAAGACTCATTTTGGAAGAAAAAGCACTTGAAAAGTAGTTTAATCGAAGTACTTCGCTGTCATCATTTGATAACGTACTGTTTATTTCACAGTATTATTTATTTATTTATTTCTGTGCCAATTAAAACGACGCCATCGCAGTTTTTCATGGCGAACAAATTACCCGCAAGAAAATTTCGTCTTTCAACCCATCCGATTCTGCTACCAACTTTGCTTATGAATTAACAGCATGCGCAGAAAGAATATAATTTAAACATTCTTGTAAAAACGTATGGACGTAAGGGCGTAGTATGCCAGTTAATAATTTCAACTGGACTAATATTCTATGTCATGGATTAAAACTTCTCTCGTCGAGTTGAGAGCTCTGGTCTGTTTCACAAAATGAGCTCTGCTTTTCAAAGCCTCTGTAAGAAACTAGCGTTGTAATGTGTTTATGACTGGGATAACGTATTGTTTACGAGTACTATATGCGAATATGATAAAACTTAAGAAAAATGCGACAAGCGCATCAAATAACCGCTTACTTTTCAGTTCAAGTTTTTTTGTACGAAAAAAAAGGTAAGAACTGAAAGGCGTTCTGCTGGAATGTTGACGAGAGCATGTAGATAAAATGGGTTCTAAATTTTTCTCTAGTTTACTCAGGCGTTGGTAACAATATATACGAAAAACTAACAGGTATCACAATCAACGTTGCAGGTACCTTTGGATAGAAGGACGCTTAAGGCTAACAACGTGCGCAAAAAGTTACTGAGTCAGTACTAAGTAATGGCTAAAATAAGAATACTGCTTATGAGAACTGTACTCAATGAGACTTTGCCTTTCGCATTAGTATCATTGAGCACGGAAGGTAAAATGAAAAACACAATCCTCACCTCTGCATTTTCGGCAATAAAGTAAATGACTTTTCTGCAGCCCGCCTCTGTTCGCCAAAATTCGAACAACAAACCTCTTAAAAGCCAACCACAGCTTCCCGCAGCACATTGCTATGTTATTTGCAAAGACTACATGTAATAAAAATTGCTTTAGCAGACTTGTGTTCGCTTGCAAGAGGGAATGAAAATGCTTCAGCCCCTGGTCTGACGAGAGGAACCTGGAAAGCACCTGTTAACGAACGCTTGATTGTTACCTGTCATTCAAACCTCGCTGATGGCGTCACGGTTATGTTTGGGTATGTAAAAATTGCATCGAGCTGGTCATTTTATGGCAGTTCAGCATCGGTAAAACCGGCTTTGAACCAAGTTAATGCGAATTTAATGTAAATTATTTGCGTTTTTATGAAAAGGAGATTTTTGAGGTCTTTTCTGTCGTGGATCTTTTTCAGGGTTGGAGAGAAAGTTTGCAATAAATGGTCGTTGTTAGCCACAGATAAGTTTTTCCTTCCCGAGTTTCAAGCAAAAGCAACCCCATAAAATTCACCCAAAAATGCATCTTAAGAATCAAGCCCAAATGCCATGGTAATAAACAAATCATTTATGTAACTAGCAGAGAAAGCTGGTCACTGTTGTGCTCGGTCTTCGAATAGAGAAAAACAAAATTAAACTTTTTTTTTTCATGAGCGTGAGACAAAGAAAAAATGTTAGACCCAAATAAAAGAATCGAGTCCCGGACCTTCGATTTTCTTTTTCGCTGATACACGGCCTTGTTCAACATCAAGTTATATGTGCCGAAAGAATAATTTTTTTCTGTCTCATTTCACGACTTCGCCTATAAATTCAGTTATTCGTTTACCATTTGGAAATGTTATAACTTTTGTATTCATGATCTGTCTAAAAAATTTGTGACGACTGATCGTAATTAAAAGCTATAAATTAATTTGATTTATTGGCTTTAAAATTTCGTCTGGTTCCATGTAGTAATAACGCCAATGTAATGAAATTCAAAGGCACTACGATTGTTTTGTAAAAACAGCTTATACCGCTCCTCTCGATGGCTTCTTAGTTCGATTGTTCATGCGTGTAATTTATGCGTAATATATGCCAGTTAAGCAGATATGAGGTTGTTAATTATTCATAACCGATACCAACACTGTTCGAAGCGATAAGGCACTAAACTTGTCGTTCTCTTGTTAGAAAAAAAACCAGCCTACCTTTCGTGTTCAACTTTTCAACTTAGGTGAAATCCACAAGAACTTGAAAAGATTCGTAAATAACATCAAATTATTCTGGCTGTGACCTTCTAAATCTCGCCCAATTTTCGATATCATTTCCATCACTGAATATAATATAATTGCACAATACATCTAGGCCTCGTTGCAGTTTCAATAAATTTGCGAAAACTTATGATTTAGGTAAAATTGTTCTTCAGAGAAAATCGTAACCCAACGAAATCTTGTTTCAAGTAACAATACTATCAAAATGACCGTGACAAAAAGTTTAATTATAATACTTTTCACCTCGAGTACTATGTAATTCCCATATGGTCTAGCGGTTAGGATTCCTGGCTTTCACCCAGGCGGCCCGGGTTCGACTCCCGGTATGGGAAGAACTGAAAACTTTTTCGTTCTTCGTCATCCATTCCCCTTATTTTTTTTTTTCATTAGTTTTGGATCGAATGCAAAACGGAAAGCAAAATTTTAGGGTCAAAATGCCACAGCTCTTTCCAACTCTTCGTATTTGTTTGAAATATCCACTATTACGCAAAAGAAGAAAGAAGAAAAATCAAATCACTGAGAGAAAAAATTATGAACACCTTCAAAATACCATTAGTAATTACTTTTAGTGGGTGAAATGCTGCTGAGAAGTCAAGTTTAGGCAGGTAAGCTTTTGGTGTGACGTGTGGTTGACTGTTCGACGTAATAAGGCGAACTTTACATGTAGTGTCAGATTTGAATTAAAAAGAGGTTATTTCGTTGAACTCGTTGCCTCACAATTTACCAAAATCTAACCAAATGCTCCCTGTCATATTAAGGTCAATATTTCTTAACAAAAATTAAACCGAATGTGATCCTAGTCTTCCGAGTACATTGTAGTGCGTAAAACTAATTCTGAACTAACAGACTGCCGTCGATTTGCAGACTTTGAAGTCAATACTATTATGTTATAATTACCTATTTCCCTGATTCCTGAAAAACACAGAAATTCGGAAAATAAAAATCACCTTACAAGTTGAAATCCTCTCCTTTTGTGGCTATGAGGTTTATTCAAAGTGACTCTGCATCAGCGACATGAGCACTTGCTGGAACACTTTCGAATATGTGGCCATCGACTGTTTTACTGCATGGTCCTTTGGAAACATTCGGTTACGTAAAACAGCCGACAAAAGAGTCCATTGGGACATTTGAAGCCTCTTGAAACATCAACCGAAAAATCTATAATCCTGATAAGTACTATCACAAGGGAACAAACTTACATTCGAGAGAAATCGACTCTGGAAAACAAACAGGACTTAGCGATCTTCCTCGCGCAATAACGCTGCCTATGGTACTGCGGGCGCGCTCACATCGTGCTCGTTAGGTTGGAGAGGCTGTCTCTTAACATCGACAGCAAATGGTTAATACACATATCTTACAAGCGGCTTTCATAGAACACAAATCTCCGAGTTCACTGGGAGACGAAGGTAAAATATTCTTGTCTCTGTTTTAAGAAGAAAACAGATGCGATGGTCTTGTCAAGTAGCCGGTGTTGGTAAGAAGCCAATGTTCTATGATTCCTCGTTGGAAAACGCAAAAAAGAAAAAAGAAAACAAAAGAAAAAAAAGTTAGAACGTTTTTAAAGCTCTTGTTTCCGCAACTTCGCCCGTAGTTGATCAAGGAATCCGTCATCTTTGGGTTCATTCACTGATCAGGGATTTTAGGATTATAGCGATGAATGTCAAGCATGCGGTTGTGTCTTTTTTATCTCGCCCCTCCCATTAAGCGACCTCTAATCCAGGGTTGGCTGAACAAGGGAAGATGATTAGTTGGAACGAGTGTCCTCGTTACAACGTAATCCTTATGCTCTTAAAAACGGCCTTCTTCTTCTGATACAACAACTGAAAGAGACATCTGTTCCTATCAAACAGTCTTTATCATATCCCCCCAAAAAAATTTTGCAGTAGGAGATGACAAGAGTGTATGCTGAGCTATCGATTGGCAGATCTCTCTCGGGAGTCTAAATACGAAGCATCTGAATCGATTAAACAAAAGAATCATTTCTCATGTTTTCTTCGGGAAATTATGTTTGCTGATCGATTAAAATTCCCATTATTAAAGAAAATACGCATTTTGCAAAGTAAAATTCAACTCTTCCATTTGTATGATCCAAATGAAAACAAAAATATGATTAAATATTTCTTCGCTGACAATAAAAGCTACTATCCAAATTTAGACGACTCCAGCAAATCTAACTTTGGATTTAGATCTGGAAGAGCAAAGAATTCTGTCGTTACAATGAAAGTAATTGTCCGAGGAACCCTTGGGGTTTTGTTCCCTACAACAGCAATGATCGTATAAATGTTATGGTGATTCAGAAAATGTTATTTCAAAACAAACTTTGTTTTTCTCCGATAATCAATCATAAAGATCCTTCCAGTTCTTTCTCGCTTGCGATGCTGTTCCCGTGAATGAACATAATATAATTTATTAACTACTCTCAAGACGACATAATAAAATAACTTAAGGATTTATAACCAGCAGGTTACCTACTGATTCCTTAGATTTTGAATTCTAGACCAATTTTGTCATCTTATTCTTCTGTCGAACTGTACAAGCAAATAGTAATATTTTCCCATGAAACATACTATTTCGCTAATCCTAGGAAATTAAGTTGAATTCTTTTCTGAAAATTTAAACTGTCTTTAAGGACTAAATGTCATTGGAAATTGTTAACTTCCCACTAGTGAGACTCGCCGATGGCGAGACCACGTAACTCACGTGACGTCATTCACTGTCCGTGGTGTTTTCATCTGCTCCAGTGACAGGAATGGTAGAATACTTAAGTGCATCGCTATTCTTACCGCTACACTTAGGAATACATTGAATATTTAGGGAAAGTTTTTGGAATTCTTTACAGAACGAAATTCCAAACGCACCAAAACACCAGGCAGCGACCCATTCGGCTACATTCCCAGCGATCTCGATAGGTTTGATCATTGAGGTACGGCTGTCAAATCCACCGCAAACCAAGAATATTAAGACATTCAATGAAAGAAGACTTGAAATGACTAGGCGCACCAAAAACATAGTTTTAGTGTTCACATTAAACTTGGTAAGCTGATAGGTGATAAAGGTCTGGGTCCAACAGTAGGCAGCACCGCTGACAAAAAGGAGCACAGCTCCAATTATATGCACAGCCGACAAGGGATTATCAACCTGGAAGATAGAAACATTTCCCGCTAAAAATCATGAGAAGCCCTACGAAAATTAATAAAAAACTAAATTTTAGTTAATAATGGTAACAGGACCGAGTGGAGTCTAATTCGGTCTTTAATCATAGGAGTGATCAACAGAATCGGATGACTGCGAAGCGGGAGTCCGATTTGTCAATCATGAGTATGATTACAGACAGAATTGGACGACACGAGGTCCTATTACCTCCTCATGGGTGCCAGACCCGCGGCAAACGTCTCCCCGACTCGTCTCAAATCTTCCGGGGGACGGAGAAACGCGAGTATTGCAGCGCATATAACGCTCCTTCCCTGAAAAAAAAATTGAAAATACAAACCAATTGCCAAATATCGATGTTGAAATAGTATGCTAATGATTATGCAAAGGACTGCAATACAAGTTATATCAGTATGCAAATTCGTCCACTATAACGAATATAACTGATCCTCGCAGCTATGAACACTACTGAACTAGTAGTTGAAATAAGACCTGAAGAAAATTCAGGTACGGGCCTGAAATTTTTTCAGGTCTTATTTCAACCACTAGTTCAGTAGTGTTCATAGCTGCGAGGATCGCTTATATTCGTTTCTTCACCGCAGGGCACATACATATTTTCAAATATTTACAGTCATTATCCTCTCTCATATCTCTTAATTAGTGCATGCGATGTAATTGGTCAATTTAATGTGATAGGCGTTTTAACCATGGAAAACCATATTATATGCGTCATTCATTGGAGGAAATAATTTTGTGCATTTTGAATCTCAAATATTTCATGCTAGCTCCCTCCCCTCCCCTCCCCCACTCATTAATTCAGCCGGTTGAGGTTCGTTCAATTTCTGTTTACAACGTCTACTAGACCGTCGATATTGTATATTGTCTACATCAGAGATATTCACGCTAATTTCTGGTATTTTCGTTCTGACAAAAAGCTTCCCTACAGATGCTAAAGACAAAGAATCGAAAATAATTAATATTCTTTGCTTTGAGGCCACTCTGTTTCGGTTTAATAGGAATCTTTTAGTGTTCTATACACGTGCCGCGATCTGCTTGGCTTCGGCACTCGTAAACCTCTTCTTAGGTTGAGCTTGTCTCAAAGTAAAGATTTGGAGGCCCAGGAGATGTACACGAAAACAATTCAATTACTCGTTCTCGATTCCTCTGCGTGATATAATTATTCGCTCTCAGTAACTAATTGTTAGATATATTCTGCTGTGCCTTGTTTTGCCGCATCCCGAGCGGTATTTTGTAAACACGGGTCAGCGATTCGTCGAGTTTTATTCTTTCCTGTTTGTTGGTGAGAACCGGATATTCACTGGAGGGCTTTTTAAATGACGGAAGGATACTGTTAATGCGTCAATTAAAATGCCTTCAAGAAATTAAAGCACTGCAACTATAAAGGTCACAGGGGAGAAATTTAGTCAAGATCTCTCTCATTGAGTGGTGAGAATTTCCAAAAGGTTCGGGTTGTGGGAAAAGATTAAACTTTGTTGGGTTAATCTACGAAAGGCACGCTTTTAATTGCTTTTCGTACTTGAAGGAACATAGCTGAAAAATTCTAAAAATTCAAAACATTGTTAAAGGAAAGCTTTTCATTCAGCCAAGATGAAATTTCTACAATTTTTAGAACCAATTGTGTAAAGAAACCAGAAACTAATGTTTTGAGGAGAACGATAGGAAAAGTTTCCGCATAGCCCCATACTACTGTAAATCAAATCTGTTTTCCCAATGGAAATGTATTATTTTTGTCATTGTTTTCTCTGTTCAAGAACTGAATGCATAATGTGGGATGGGGCTGTGCGGAAATTTTACCAACTATAGCCATTAGAAACCTTGGAAGCGGTCTCAAAGATAATGAACTTTGGAAAACCTAAAATTTTATACATTAGCACCTACGTGAAATGAATAAAAAGTGAGATTCGATCGGTGAAATGCTTTAAAACGAACCATTAAAATTGAGCACTAATCAACGACAAATTTGCTCTTTGTTTTTCTCTGTTTGAGGTGTGAATTCCACCTTATTAGAATACGATCCACTGAGAGAAGGAAACATTTTCGGCATTAAATCGATTATAAAGGAATTAGAATGTATTTGTTCTTTGAATTATGTACTCTAAAAATTCTTTGCAACGACGTACGGTTTCTAGGCTACGCGAAGACAAAAAAATTTTTGAAAAAGTATGAAAGTGCTAGAAAGCATTTTCCCTTTCTCGATTTGGCGCTGAAACGCACACGTCAGAAAGAAACCAGAAACCTGTTGTTGTCTGGTCCTTCAAAGAATCAGTCTAAATTTCTCATATAGAACATATACAAAGTATAGCGAAGAAAATCCACAGCTTAGAAGAAAAACCCTTACTTTTTCATACTAGTAGAGTGGCGAGTGACGCATGTAGAGGATCTGAACTACCAAACAAACCACTATAGAAAATTTAATTCATGCAAAAGTGATTAACAAGTGTTAACATAAACAGAACTTGAATATTTTTTCATTTTGTCATATTGTTCGCGCTTACGAGGCAGGTTCAATGTTAAAGAGACGAAAGTTTAATTGTAGACCCTGAAAATGCTTAGCCTTCGCCGTTTTGGACTCGATTCGCGGCCAAACGCAAAGAGACGAAACGAATAATTATGTCTGATTTCAGATGGCGCTTTGGTTTTCGTAATTACACCAATGTTTGTTGCGTAACTTAAGTTGCAGAAAGATTTTCTTGATAAGAATGAAGTAAGGGATTTAATTATCTCAAAGCCATAAAAAGAATCGTGGTAGAGGGAAAAAATTGCTTTCTGAAGGAAAATTCGTAAAGTGAAAGTGGTAATGTGTTAGAACGCGGCCAAGTGACTTTGATTTACATTAAGCGCGCTCGAACAGGCACAAATCAACAACTATGGAAAAACCATATTAAAGGAAGCTTAACGAAAAAAAAATATGTCTTCAGCGTTATGGCTGATTTTAGTAAGGATCTTATTAAGATAGTATTACCTCACGAGATCTGAAATTTGCGACAACAGACACTCCCAAGGCACTTCCGAGACCGAAGACGTTACTCAGTAAGTTGAGCTGTGATAGAGGAGACGATTTGCTGCCTTCTATTTCTCTATTGATCATTTTGACCTGGAAATATCGAACAGCCATCATAACCAGAGTTAGAATTGCCGTGGCATTGAAGAACTCGGCGAAAATTGCTCCTTCGGGGTCTTTGTATGTTGTGTCACTTATCGACGGAACAATGAACGAAACGTCTCCATTAGAGCGTGCGATGAAATACGACAGAATCAGAGCGATCGTGGCTACGGAAATCCACGCAATCACGAAACAGCCCAGGCCAGGTTTTGAACATTGCCCGTTTTCTTTCGGATCGCTCATTTTGTTCCAAGGATATCCTACGTGTTCACCGCCAAGCCATGGTTGATCAACTGAGGATTTTCGTGCGGTGCTCTCAAATAAACTCCTTCAGTGAAGCGGGGGTGGTATGCTAATTCAGGAGAAATCAATCAAAGGAAGCTTGAATAGACGCATTAGGTGACAGAAGTACACCACATGTCAAATAGTAATCATGTCCAACACAAATCAATGGAAATGAAGCTGAATAGCCTTTTAACAAACAAATTCAATTCTCTTGGCGATAAATTGACAAACTTCGCAATATTTTTCCGCGGTAACAAAGGATTTACAACCGGTTCGTTGGCGTATAATTTCCGTTGCAGAGAAGCGCGTTGTTTCTAGATAAGTATTCTAACTTTAATTTTTGCTTGCCCTGCGACAAAAATTTCTGCTTTATTTGTCCGATCAAAAAGACTTTTTCCACCCGCTCTAATCAGTTATGGTTACTCTTTTTGTATTGTAATTTTTGAACGTAGAAAGCTCAGAAAATCAGTGATGAATAACTTACAAATCAGATTTAAAAATTCAACGACACGCACCGAAAACATTAGTGAGATGCCCATATTTTTGCTATATCCTAAACGTCTGATAACCTTCAACTGAATCAAATAACAACACAGATTTCACTCCCAATTTAAGCCTGCTGTTAAATTGAATTAAGCTTATGCAGATTATGTTTTAAAAACTGTTATCAATTTGTCGCTCAGTTGGATCCCGCTCATACTGAGGTTTTAAAGAATTTCAACGCATCAAGACCCATCAAACTTCGAATAATTGTGTCGTGAAGATGAACACTTCGCTTTATCAACTACAGCCCAATCTCAAGAACTCCACTTGCCGCGGCAACCCCCAACCGTCGATTGGTCGAAATTCCCGTTAACTCGCTTTATTTATTTCCCGTAATTTCGCCCTCTATAATTTAAACCTTGTTTGTCAATACATGACTACTCGATGAGAACATAGTAAAACCGCGATTCCAAAGAATCTTTACGGCTTAAGTCTTTTTCAGTGCCACATATTTTTCTAGCCACGTAACGCGAGCCCGCTGTTACACAAGAAAGAACAGCGGTGTAACGTAATAACGGTAAAGCGCGCGTGAATAACACTCAACTTTTTTTTAAACCAGCCACAAACTTTTGACACTAGAGCTCAAACAACGTGAAAAACACACATTGAATTATTAAGATCACCGCAAAATCACAAGGGGGATTTGATTCACCGAAATACCACATAAAAAAACTGGGTCACAGGGCAATGCCACTGAGGCAAACGTCCTACAAAAAATTTAGATGCGTTCCCCATTCAAAACGATAAGGAAAGGCCACGTTCGGAAAAAGTTGGTGAATATGCTTAAGAGCTAACGAAAATAAATGACGGGAACAGATACAAAAACATGTCCAAACGAGTCAACGAAAAGACCTGAAGCTACTAACGGTTAGTTCAGTCAAGTACGAAATGGGTCAAAGATAATTGTGCAGGGGTTCAATGACCAAGAAACCACAACCATGCAAGAAACTCCATTCCATTTATTCAGGAACAACATAAACAACGCACTGGTAAGATCATCGCGAAACGGAAATGTGGGGTTTGATATACCGAAACATGTACACCGCCAAAATCGTAACACAACTGATTAGTGAAAGTCGATGATAATTACGATACAAGAGCAAACAGCAAAATATCAGTTTCATTCTTTTTTTGCCTATAGTAGCCATTAGGTAGTTATGAATAATTTGCGAGTTGCAAGAGTATAACAGTTAATATTCTCTTGGTTTACTTGTATTTGCGGTGTAGCTTTTGATACATTTTATGTTGAACCTTGTGACATTTGATGGTAATAAGGTAAGTTAATGGTAGAGTGAAATCCAAAAAAATGTGTTTTGTGGTGGTTTATAGTACAAGTGATTTGAATTTGGGTAGGGTACTAGATTCAAAGGTTAATTATAATGTGAAGTAGGTTAACTCGAATGGTTAGCATAAAACCATCAGCTCTTAACGACAGAAAATACTGAAAAATGTTGTATGCAGGAAATTCTCGTAGTAATAGCACGAGGTCAACAATTTTCCGGCTATGGTAACTACCAATGGCCGTACCACCCCTTTAATTTGCTGATATTTGGTATTATCAGCAACAAAAAAATACGTTTTGTTAATATAGTTATTTAGGTTAAGCCAATAATCCCCCCCAAAACGCAAGCTAAGAAAATTGCACCTCCTAACAGTGGTGTGAACAGTTAATCTACCCGACAGGGTCTGTAAAAATTTTCACGAAAAGATAAATTTGCATGCTGAATTCGACTCGAAAATGACAATTTCAACAGGGGGAGAGGAAATTGAACTTGCTTTTGAGTTAAAAAAGCGCGAAGTAAAATTTAAGGTGCGTTTTCAATAATTTGTGGCGATGTGTGGATTGTAACTTCCACTAGGGAGAAAAAATAATACAAACTTAGTAGAAATGATTCTTAATTGTATGATTGCTGAGGCGAGACACTACCATTACTAATTTTCTTTAGTTAAAGACTAAATGCTGCATCATAGTGGTAATCTCATTCTTGGCTAATTGCATTGGTTACATCGTTTCCTGCAGTTTCTCTTGACCGCTAATTGCATTGGTTACATCGTTTCCTGCAGTTTCTCTTGACCGCGTTATACCTGCAGAAGCGTTCTGGCCACCGCTGGCAAGACCTCCATCTGTCTTGACAAACCGCTATGCAGGAAATGAAGACAAAGAGGTTAGTTGCCGAAAAAAGAATTTAAAATTCGACTTTGATGAATCATTGTTTCAACAGGAGTAAAGTAATTTTTTGGTTGCGGTGTGGTATACACTAAAAAAGTTGTTCATCTTAGTGTTGGTAAATGGGACAGAAATTGTCAGAAACGAAGCAACAGATGCCGGACAGGACAACAAAACGTTGTCAATGTAGTTTTCAGCATACCATTCACTTATCACTTGTCGTTCCTTTTAATCAACTGAAATCAAAGACTGCGCAATTGTTTGTTTTTCTGATGGCCTTAGCAACTTGAAAAATATTATCCATGCGTTTTTTAACCGTCAAAGAGACCTGTTTTTAATAAAATTTTAAAACAGGCAAAAACTAGAAGGTGAAATCCTCCAAAGAAACTGAAATTTAATCACAAACAACGAGATTGATGACCGGTAATTAGAGAAATAATAAACTAGTAACTATGATGCGTCACAAACATTCTCCATTTCTCCTTACCTCTCTTTGCACATTCACTTCGGTACAAAAGGTTCGCTTGCCGAGCATCAATTGAACTTAAACCGTTCCTCTGGCCAATGACATTGTTAAACTGGAAAATATGATACACAAACGTCACAATAATCACCGAGTTACAAATGGTGGAAGTTTAAGCGTTGTGAAATATCCTAAGGACCATGCAACTGCGAAGAAGACGTACTATGAGATTCAAAGATAACAACAACTTGCTTTCAAAATAATTCTAGAGTTACAGAAGAAATCAAACTATACGAAAAACCGAATAAATATGAACGCTATTAAGGTCTATAAATATGCACTGCAAAATTATATTCTCCCACTGCAATTTTTTTTGCCCAAATTGCGCAAATTGCTCATCGACAGATGCGGGTCCAATACAATGGCTAATCAGAAAATATCGGTGAGACTGGAGGAAGTTGATAACATAAGGGATTGCTTTAGGCAATAGGTGTCCTGGGGCCATTCCTGGCGAGGGTCCCTACAACCTTACGGACCCGAAGAGCTTATCGTTTGCCATGTTTTCACTCACGATCGAGATGAAAACGGGTTCGAATTGAAACAATGGAAATATCGGGGAGTGAAATAGAATGGAGTGGTTTATAAGGTGTGACCTGTCTATTTAAACTCCATAGATTTAGATCTAAATCTTAGTCTAAAGAGCATGACGGGACTTCGAGAAACGAACCCTCTGTCAATAGGGAACTGAAAATGGTTCATTACACCGCAGACTGAGTCTCCCCCAGGTATAATGGCAGGAAAGTTGCGTAAAAATTTGCCCCATTTTTTAGCTTAAAAGCAAAAAAACATGAATAAAGAACATGATTTTGGTTGCCACAATAACACACCCTACTGTCTTTGGTTACTATGGTTCGACGTCCGTTCCTACTGAACGCTGTGCCACTGTAGTGCATCACGCTTTCATAATCGTAAGGGGTGCCGAGAGAATCAATCGTTGACCTTGGGTACTTGTTAAAATTACTCTCTCTGCCTGCAATAAATTAAAATTAAATATTACAGTTATATTTTTTAATTGAAATATTTTCAGTGGCTGATCACATAACGGTTGGACACAAGGAAGAAACTGCTATCAATCCTGATAAGACTGATAACAAGAACTCTATTCAGGGGAACTTGAAAAAGGTTCGAGATTTCGTGAGTTGGAGAACGAAATGACAGTAAATATTGGAGTAAACGTTTTTTTTCCCATTTTTTTGCACACTATGTGCTATCCAATAAAATATTTTAATAGCATGTAGATAGCTTGTAGATGTCAAAGGTGAAGCTCCTAAAATGCGTTTATACAACATATAACACCTTTAAAAATGATTCAAAATAAATTTAGAATTTTGGATTAGAGTACAGTTAACTTTTGTTTTAACTTTCTCGGTATTGATAATAGGATTCACTTAGTCAAGGGTAACATATTAAAAAAAATTATCTTCGAGGAAACGAAGATTGCTTCCAATAAGCGAGAAGTGTAGCTATCAACAACTGTTTTACGAAAATCTACGGGAAATAGATAGCTCGTGCGAGTTCTTTTGAGTGATTGTACTTTTTCAAAACAAGACTGAGAGGAGAAATTTAAGAATGAAGAGCTATCCCATAAAGGTTTTTTAAATACATTGAATATAAATTTGCTCTCATCGCATTTACTCTGTTTAGTACAGTTTTGAAAGTACAAAATATGAGATGAAAGAAAACACAAGAGTAATTCTACCAGGACTGAACTAGATCTACAAAATCACACCAAGCCTCACCTGGTATTACATTTTGCAGCTGAACAATGACAAACTGGTCTCTATCGGGACGAGACTGTTCATGAAAGAATCCAATGGCATGGCCTGCGAAAAATCAATAAGACGCTTGGTTTTTTTGCCATTCACACACATGATATCATGTCGGTAGCTTATGATCCATGCTACTTCTTCCAAACTTAAATCAAGATATTGAAAATTTTCAATATTCAGATTTTATAAAATGGTCCCAAGTTCGGATATAAAGAGTTGTTCTAGAATTTTGCCAAGTCTTTAGAAATATCAGTCGACGACGTCCTTAAACGCTTATATGAAATAACATTTCTAAAATATATACAAATAAAAATAAAAACAGATCTTAACAAAAAAAGGGAAAAATGTATAAGAAAAACAGCACGAGAAGCAACCAGTAAACACCCCGAGCAGACAAAACGATAAACTTAAAACACAAGGAAAATAATAATAATAAAAAAAGAATGAATAAACAGACACAAGACCAAATAATTTACCGATTTCATGGGCAACAATTCCTTGAGTCCAGCATCCGGCTGATCCAAGGTTGATAACTTGACTGTTTCCAGTTCTACCCACATATGACCAGCACCCTGCGCTGTAAAATAGATTAACATCACGAGGAGGCATTTTAAATAATTTACACAGTATGATGTTCTTTTTATGAAAAAAGTACCGGAATGTCGCTCTCTTTCAGTTGATTATAGGGGGGTCCTTACGCAATCATGACATGTACCTAATTCGTTGTCGGGTTTCTCATGCTGTTGTTTGGCGGAGAACAACCAAGAAACGTATTAGGTTTTAAAACGCACGCACAGAGCTATTTTCCGTCTCATAAAAGTTTTTGGTTCTCGTTGCAGTCGCCGTCATTGCTTTGCATAAGATTTCCTAGTAGCAAAGCGCGCGCAACGTAGCCCCATAAGCAGGATAATAACTAAGGTAGACCATAACGACAAGAAAACTTGATTACTATGTCTTGTCCATCCATCGGTACCATTGTTTTGTTTCTGTCCTGCCCGTTGAATATATACGTTTTTGAGCGCCAGGTAAAATTAAAGCATTCGAAAGGTAACTCTAACCTCAAATTTCGTTATCCAATTTTTTCAATTTTTTTCAAACACTGTTTTCAACTTTGAATCACTAAGGTTTTTTTTGGAACAAATTACGCTAATAGTATCTTACCTGCCGCTAGCAAAGTTGACGTAAGCTCTTTCATTTGTTCGCCTCTTAAAACGGATGCATGTCTTTTTTGTCCATTCATTCATACCTGCATTTATGGCAGCCCTGGCCCGCCCTCTAGCTGTATAAAAAATCACAGACTAGGAGGTTAGTTTCAATCTCTTGAAACAAGCACACTTAACTATCTCTTTTTTGCAAATCGTGGACCAGATCTTTGGTGCATTGGAGAGCAAAAAATTGCGATTATTTGCAGATTTTTAAAGATAACATTTTATTCACCCTTACCAAGGCTATTATCGATTACGTATGGGACTTCTCCTGACGGCCATAGTCTGCTTCTGACCGAACCTCTTTTGCGGGAGCTATCAACATCCATTCCGTGCTCGGCTCTATAGAGGACATCCGCAGGAAGGATCATATCCCCCTCGAATAAATCGTTCTCGTCGACACCCAAATTTTCTATCATAAAAAATTGAACACAGACGATGAATCAATCAATTAATACTGAACTTAATTATTCATTCATATTCATTCATAAATCATGCAATGAAGAAATTACGTGTCATTATACTAGTTAACTAATTAACTAATTAATTGTTAAGAAAAAGAACAACAACAGCATAACAAATAACTTCCATTCTGCTTGATCCTACTAACTAGTCGCAGGAACAGAAGGCCTATATTTCCAACCTTTTCGTGGTGGCCTACATTTTAATAGCAAACAAAGGGGTGGCAAGTTCTGTTTTATAAAATAACAGCTACACTTCTATGTAACGCATAAAAGCGATTTGGTGTGAAGCAAAGCGAAAATCACGGCTATCACCAATAGAATCAGATATACTTTTAATCATAATAGTGTCAAAGATTCTGTTTTATTCTAAGACAATCGAAGTCTTAGAAAGTGCTCTCACTTAGCGATTATCACCCAAAGCGCCCAAACAATCAAGCTGCAAATCGATTAGTTTCCTTTGATTAGTTTCCTTCGGCGTACCAATTTAGTTGCATAAAAAGAACTGTGATAGCTAGAAAAATCGTTGATCAGAAAACAACAGATGCTAAATGGAAAGTTCAGAAAGGGAAGAGAGCGCAAAACTCCGAGTGTTAGCTTAGACAACTATGGTCTTCTTTGGCATTATTACGAGGAATTATCGAACAACCTTACCATCAGGATTTTCCGATGCAACGAAGACTGTTGTCATCAACAGGAGGAAGCACAAGCACTTCATGGTTCTTGTTTTCTTAATTCTTGTTCTCTTAAGTTTCGTTTCCAGTGAAGACTTAAGCAGTAAGCTTATGCTCCACGTGGGAAAGCTGCCTCTTATAGTTCATTGCTCGATGATCCAATATGTATTTGCTGAATTTGGTCTGTTAAAATTGCAGCTTAACTTTTGTAGAAATAAGGTTATCTCTTAGTTTCTATTCCAATATACTGAGGGAAATTTTCTGTGCGCATCATACACCAAACCATGCAACATATTGTTTTTTTTCCTTGTGTAAGTTGGGCCTCTTCCTTCCGCGGTGACGTAAGAAGGAAATCATATCACCATCTTTGGGAAAACACCTCTTCTGGTAACGTCAAGAGTTGCAATATTGCAAGACCTTGTCAAATATCACTTCTTGTTGTTACTACTATTAGAAGGGCTATATCAGCAATGTTTCCACAATTATCAATCGACTATATTTGTACCAATGGCGATCCGTCCGTCTGTCTTGATAAATATACAAATATGAGTCATTTCAAGACGTTGTATTAACTGTTCTTTAGGGTAACGATCATCTCCGCGCCACTCAGTGTCACTGACCGGTCGACTCGCATCAATCCAGCTGCACCAGCAGTTTTGGCTCATATTAATTTACCGACGTCATCTCCGTCACTTTACTCCATTTTAGCCGCACTTCAAATAACCCAAATTAAACTACTTTGTCGAAACCATGCCTTACATAGCCATACAAGGCATCCAAGATTAAGGCAGCGCTGTCTTTACCTAAATTTGTCTTCCTTTGGTTGTAAAGAAGTGATAAAAAGGCGTACACTACATCATGGAAAACTTTGACTATATTGTTCATTTCTCCCTTTATTTTTTAGATTTTTTAAAATTATAAGCAGAGACTGTACTATGATCCTGTAGTGTTATTTTTTTTCTTTGCTAGTATGCAATTTATGCGGTCGTTTTGGTTTTGGTTTTCTAATCTACTCAATATTCTTTAGTCGACGAACCTACAATAATTACCTTGTTTTGTTCTAAATGATATTAAGAATGTACTACGACAAAATTAAAATACCCACATAACTACCTTTATGATAATTGTTTTGAATGTTTTACCAGAACTATGTATGTACATTATGATAGAATCGACCCAATGAACACATTTGGGAACTAAGTGACATATTCTACGTATGTATTAAGGGTGGCTATTTTGGGAATACCCTGTATTTTAACTGCTCAATCTTGACCACAAACATTCATTTTCCACGTAATGAAAGCAAAACCACACGTTTTCTCGACGGTATAAAGTTTACGATTTTGTCGGAAGTTAATATCAAGCTCAGATCTTATCGCCATCGTATGAAATCTCCTTTATGATGGTAATGCACTGAAAGCAGAAATATAATTCCAATATCTCTATAGTCTCTTTCGTTCAAAAATGATATGATGCGTTTAGTTTTATCAAAAATACATCTTCACATAGGCGGCTTAATGCGTTTTGTTTTGGAGTTGAGTTCTGACCGGGTTTGTCCTTTTAAATGACACTACTTTTACGCATGGAATTCTTTATATGCATCTTAGGGTCAGTCTCGATCCAGATAATTAATCAGTGCATCAGTTTTTTTTAACTTTTAATTCTTTTTAATTTAATCTAGCAAAAATTACGACTACAAAGAAGAAGAATCATCACACCATGGTTAAATATATATATGTTATTTGCCGGCAGGGAGGTCCGTATGGTGAAAAACTGTGACCTCGGCCTTGAAAATGAGGTCACAGTTTTTCATCATACGGACCGACCCTTAGCCAGTAAATAACATATTTATCTTTTTAAAACTTGACGAAATTCATTCCGAAAGAACCCGAATGATTTAGGGCTGTAAATATGGCAAGATCTTCCATAAACTGAACAGTTTTTGAGCAAGTAAATGGTAGTTAAAATGGTAGTTAAAATGGTAGTTAAAATAGAGGTGACGCAAATTAAAGAGGACATTTTCATTTGCGTAAAGATAAAAGTGATTTAAAAGACTTCCAAACAAACTTTGAAACGTTATTATACAAGTATCTGTCACAATCTGACACCTGTCAATTAAAGAGCGCGTAAGAAAAGAAAAAAGCGCATGTAGATTTTTAAAAAACAACAAAACTAGTTTGGCAAGGACTATCACCACAATGTTTTCTTCAAAAACAGTCAATGATCTTACGGAAGTATTATTCACTCTCATCGACGATAAATTTATGTACGAAGATTTACCTTTGTTCATTAAGTAATCGGCGAGGAAAGTAATGGTAAGTAAATTCAAATTTTTTGTTTTGAAGTTGTGAGAGTTTACTCGTTTGTTTGCTGCAATAGCGTGTGAAAATCTGGTCTTTCCTTCGCAAAAACTAAATTCGGATGATATACTCCAACGAGACACAAGGGGATTTCATGTGGCCTTTTCTCATTTAATTCCTTAAGTTTCTGTTGTGCAATTTACAATACAAATGTCCAAATTGAACGGACTTGAAAAGACTCACCGATATTTGTTGCAGAACTGAAATTAAAACTTCACTCGCCTTTTCACTACGAACAAAATTGTTTGAGAAAATCCAGATATTAAATGAATGAAAGTTCCATCGATTAGTTCAACTGTGGCCAAATATCTTACGTTTTAACTCTCTAGGTACTTTTTGTGAACGATATAAATTAATTGCAGACGTTTTTTAGGCCGCCTGTCAACCGACGTAATGACATTATTGCCTATACGAAAAAGTCATACTGAAACGAAAATTTTTCAGTCCACCAAAGTGACTTGAGAGAGAGAAAAGAGAGGATTCATAAGTTATTTATCGGCTTGAGGTAGTGACCGACTTCTTTGCTTAAAAATACTGCCCAGCCGGTAGAACGAGATATATTTATGAAAAATAGCAACGAATGAAGGGATGTACTTGGCGACTCACGAAAGCGTTACCGTTGCCCGTGGGCAGAGATAGGAAAATACTGACCGGGTAAAGAACCAATCAGATTGCAGGATTCTTTACCGTGCCCTCTGAAAAAAAAAATATGTTGGTAACGTGCATGCAATATAAATATCATTCCATTCAATACCTATGAATTATCCACCGGTATGCTTTTTTCTTATACCTTCATAGCTTTTTATTCTTTAGTTATCGTATTGTCCGTCTAAAACATCTAATTACGTAGTTTATTCCGATGTTAGCGCCACAGGGTGTGGTGCCCACTTAGATGTCAACAATGAACAGGTATGTCACAAGTTATGGGATGTAGATGATTGTGGTAAAAGTTCCGCCTGAGGGGAGCTGTTAGCTATTTCATTCGCCCTGGAGTCGTTTTTGCCTCTCTTTAAAGACTCTAACGTGAAGTGGTTTTCTGATAGCCAGAGCTAGTCCCTCTATGCTAGTTTCAGAGTTCAAACTGTTTGTGTTTCGCTTTTCTCTTCAGGTTTTTCAAGGTTGCCCAAAGTTGAGATGTGAGAATCCACTCTGCTATTAAATTAGACGGCAGTCACTAGACAGCATCAGTCTGAAGGTATCTGTGTCTCCAATGTGGACTTGAGTGATTCAATAGATTTGTGATTATATTTGGAGTAGGTGGCTGGGAGAATAAGACGATAAATGACAAGAAATGAGAGAGCGGATGATTTTGACCAATGAAGGCTTGAGTGATTCACTAGCTTTGTGATTGTATTTGGTATAGGTGGCTAAATGAAGAGGACAGTAAACGGCAAGAAAAGAGAGAGCAGATGATTTTAACTTGGACGGTTAGTCATTTCATTTATAAATGACCGATCATACTGAATTATCACTCGAGTTATGGGGAAAGATGATGGTAAATGAATCGAGGAGTTTGTATGAAAATTATGGATTAATATCATTTTGATAGTTAACAATTGTTCCGTGAGCGTGCGTTGGATATGACGTAGTAAATAACCGAGTGGGCTATAACCAGTCTCTTATCCAACAAGTGTGAATGGAATAGTTGTTGTATTAAATTTCATCCTGAATGTTTGAATATTTGAAGCTTTTCTTAGTTCCGTAACAGTTGGCATAATACATTTCCATATGCGGTGACTCGGAATGTGAGCTGATAACCGGAGTCAACTAAACCAATCAGATAACTAGAATTGCAATATTCGGAGTTCGTCTGAGTTTAAACTGTAATGTATCTAATGATTGTAAATTTAAGGAACGATTTCATTCAGAAAACTATTTTCAAATCTTGGGATTCACGCGAATGGTCAGAAAGTATTTGCTACCATTTGACCTCAAAATGGTGTATGAATATCAGAATTTGGTATATAAAAGTATGGGTTTGGTGTGTAGATATTGTGGTGAAGACTTTTGTCGATAAAAATGACATTTAGGGATTCAAATGAGGTAATTAGAACATTGAAGATGAAATGGAAAACAACATTGCACGAAATGTGTTACAAATATTAACTGTATCATGGTGGTAGAATTTTGAAAGTTAATCAGTATTTTTGTGGAGCCCCGTATTAGTTAAAATTAGTGTGTGGAGTTTCTTTGAGTTACAGTAAGTCTTTGAAAAAATTTTGTTATGCATGCTGTGTGGTATTTCTGTAAAAATTTTGCGAGCACATTTGTTTTGATGATGCAGTGAAGATATGTTGTAAATAATTTTATGAAATATCAGGATATATGCGTTTGTCCCGTGGTGGAGGTGAGGAGGGGGTGCTTCTAAGCAATAGGCTAATGTGATATGGATGCTAACTTCTCGTAAGGGAGAAAAATAGCACCAAATACTGTTGCTGAGGCAAGAAATTGTAAAAACGATTGTGTCCTTATAGATCCAATAAACAATGGATTGTAAATGAATGAGGAAACCGATTTGAGCCTCTTTGGAATAAAGAAAATAATATTCAACAAGGACAAAAGCATACAAGTAAAAGAATTTTAATAACCTCGCTTGATACACAAGAGCTTAGGACGAAATGCAATCTCTTTCTCGGCTAACTGGATTGGTTTCATCGCTTCATGCAGTTTATCCTAACTATGAATCTCCTGCACTGGCGTGCTGGCCGCTGTAGGCAACTTTTCCTTCTGTCTCGACAAACCGCCACGTAGGAAATGAAGACAAAGACTTAAGTCTTAAGACTTTGTTACTGCAGCTCGGTAAAACTATTTTAAACATATCGTAAACACGCAACTTACATTAATATTTTTTCGCCAAATAACGCGCGAGATATGAGGCCGCAGCACATCGTAACATCTTGGTTCACACAATGCAGACTGAAAATGTTGAAAACGGAGCAAAAGCGACCGGACAGGACAGGACAACAACACTTGTAAAAAAAGGTTTTTAAACGTCTCATTGCTTTTAAAACGATGAAATCAAAGACTGACGTTTTGGGCCACTTTTCACATGAACTAAGCAACTCGAGATTATTAACTGCGCGTTTTTAACCTTTTAAAAAGGGACATGTCTCGAATAAAAGCTTAGAATATAACAAAAAGAGATAGCGATAAAAACAAAATTGAAATCATATTACCAAAAATAAGACCGTTATGCTATTGTTATGATGCGTTACAAACCTCCTCCACCTCCACTTCTACCTTCACCTCCATCTCAACCTCTACCTCCACGTCCACGTCCACCTCTACCTCTACCTCTACCTCTACCTCTGCCTCTGCCTCCACCTCCACCTCTACCTCCACCTCCACCTCCTCTCTTTGCACATTCACTTCGGTACATAAGGTTCGCTTGCTCTGCATCAGTTGAACTTAAACCAATCCTCTGGCCAATAACATTTTGATACTGGAAAATACGATACACGAACGTCAATTAACTACTGCAGCCCATTTAGGAAGGAGGCTGGTACCCATTGGGGGTTGGGGGGTTCTTTCTTCTTCGTAGCTGTTCTTTGGTATTATATGTCGCACTATTCCCCCCTCCCCCATCACACTCCATCACACTCCATCACACCCCTCTCCCCCCAAAAAATCCGCAAATACGCTGCCAAAGTCTATTCACCCATTGAAACCTTTTGGTGCAGAGAAGAAAACAAGTTTTTCATCGAAGGATTAAAGTCTAATACAACGGCCGATCAAAAAGTGTCTGAGGGAGAGAATGGAGCATACTGGTTACACCAATGATTGCTTGTGCAATTGGTGTCCAGGATTCTGTTTGTCGAGGCTCCCAGTGACTTGACGGGCCCAGTAAGCTTATTTTTGTTTGCCATGAATTCGCACAAGATGGGAATATGGAAACTGTTACAATTGAAATGATTAAGATATCGGGAAACAGAAAGAGAATGAACTGGATTATGAGTCGTAGTAACATACCTTCTTGTCTTTCGTTATTATGGTTTGAAGTCCAAGTTTCGGGTTCTTGCTGAATGCTTTGTCGTCGTAATGCATCAGGCTCCCGTAATCATAAGGGATGTTGAGAGAATCAATGAATGACCTTCGGTATTTCTTAAAATTATCCTTCATCCCTGCAATAAATTACGATGAAATTTTTTTGGTCGGGAAAGTTAGTTGCTGTAATATAATTATTTTATTTAATGGATTCGTACAAGTACAAGTACAGGTGCATAACAATAGGACATAAGTCTCTTACTTGGTTAATACACCCACACGTAAAAAATATCCCGGAAAGAAATATCCCGAAAGAAGATCCCTTCCCTGATCCGACTAAACTACAATTAAAATAATCTTAATCACACAGAACATTCTAAAGTATACAAATTAACAACTTAACTTAACTTAACTTAACTTAACAAGTACAGACAGAAGAAGTATTTACACGGCGACACTAAGACGATAGGAGGTAGACGTAAGGAAAAAATTGCTATTAATCCTGATGACGAGAACTTGAGAAGAAAATTTATGAAAGGTTTGGGTTCTCGTGAGTTGGAGATCAACTGGACCGGATATATTTGAGTAAACGGTGTTTTCTGCGTTGCTTTTCACACACTCTACAATCTGATCAAATCTGCTAAAATCAGGGAGAGTTCAAGGGTCAAGCCAAAACGGCAAAAACTGCGCAGCTACTTTAAAATAACTTCAGCCTGATACTCTGTTGGATTACAGTTCAGTTTGTTTAAACTTTTGAAGTACTGATAATATGCATTGAGTTCATTAGGGTGACAAATAAAAAAAGACCTAAGAGGAAACAAAATATCCCTTTTGGTAAGCGAAAAGAACGAGCTATCGGAAGTTGACTAACTGCAATAACTCTATGACGAAACTCAAATTTAGATTTTTGGTGGAAGATACGTGCGCGCACGTTCTTGAGAGTGATTGTACAGTAGCTAGTTTAAAAAAAGACTGAGTGGATAAATTCAAGAATGAAGACTTTTGCTGTAAGGGTTTTTAAAAATGAACTGAAAATAAATTTTCCTCACCTGGTTTTACATTTTTTAACAGCACTGTGACAAACTGATCTCTATCAGGACGAGACTGTTCATGAAAGAAACCAATGGCATGGCCTGTGAAAAATCAGTAAGACGCTTGCTTTTTTGCGATTCACTCTTATGATATCTACCGTTACCTGATAATCCATGTTGCTTGTTTCAAAATTCAATCAAGAGGATTTTTGAAATGGTCCTAAGTTCGGATAGAAAAAATGTTGGTTTAAATTTTCCAACGGCTTTAAAAATATCGTCCCTTGATAAAACCTCTAAAATGTGTACATATAATTAAGCAAAAAAACAAAAATAAGACAAACCAAACAGGGAAAAAAGCAGAAGAAAAAGAAACAAACAGACCGACCATACTAAAAAGTAAGGAAAATAAATAAAAACAAATAAACAAACGCATCAGAGTAAATTATTTACCGATTTCATGGGCAACAGTCCCTAGATTCCAGCATCGGTTTCCAAGGTCAATAACAAAAATAAGACAAACCAAACAAGAAAAAAGCAGAAGAAAAAGAAACAAACAAACCGACCATACTAAAAAGTAAGGAAAATAAATAAAAACAAATAAACAAACACATCAGAGCAAATTATTTACCGATTTCATGGGCAACAGTTCCTAGATTCCAGCATCGGTTTCCAAGGTCAATAATTTGACGGCCTCCAACTCGACCCACATTTGATAAACACCCTCCTCTGAAAAGTGAGGCGATATCAGAAGGATGTCAGTAGTGATTATTTACATAGATTTACATAGTTTGTTGCGCTTTCATGAAAATAGAAAAACAAAGTAGAGTGTAGCTCTGTTTAAGTTGGTCATTAGGGATCTCGCGGGCGAGACCTAGTTGCGACGCTAAGGTAAACTCTGATCACAAGAAAAGATATCATATTTGTGATAAAAACTTTGCAAGTGAGCCGTTGTCTTTACTGTCTTTATCAGGGTCAAGCATTATCTTACATGATAAGGCACCGTTAAGTTTCAAGCAGACATTTATTTAATTTTCTGTCAGTGTCGGGGTTCTTATTCTCGAACTACAAAACCTTTGGTGAATCTTATGGCTGCAAGGAGAGGACCAAAAAGAAATGTAAAATGTTTTAAATTTATGATGTACTGATTTGCGACGTACTGATTGCTGTCGCAGACCTGGTTTACGTGTAAGGTCTCCAATAGCGGAGCGCGCGTAACGTAGCCCCATACGGAAGAAAATTGTTAAGTTAACCTTTAAAGCCAAGAAAACTTAATTGCTACGTCTCGTCCATCCATCCGTACATTTGTTTAATTTAAGATATTCTGGTGTTTTCAGCACCAGAAAAAAAATGCTAACGTACTGGGATAGCTTAATTCTCTAATTTCTCCAACCATTTTTTTTTTTTCGTTCAAACACACAAGCTCATGATTACTAAGAATTATTTCATAGCAAATTACGCTAACAGCCTCTAACCTGTGTAAAGCAAACACTACGTAGTCTTTTTCATTTGTTCGCCTCTTAAAGCGGATGCATGTCTTTCCCGTCCATTCATTCATTCCTGCAATTATGGCATTATTTGCTTTCCTGGCATTCTGTTTTCTACCTGTGTTTTTTAAAAAGCAAAGACTAGTAAATATCGATCTCTTGCACCAAGCGGGCTTCATTTCGCTCTGTTTGCATATTGAATTCAAATCGTAGACATGACGCAGCGAAGATTCATCTCAAGTGAAAAGCTAGTTTTTCTAGGATCCTTTCCAGCATTATACTTGTTTGAATTGTGATACAGGTGAAGCGAATTGTTGGGGCGACTTTTTAATTAATACAAATGGATCTCCGAACTTAAAGTTGAAATGGAAAAAAGGGTGAGTCTACTCTCGACCCAAGTGTCCCAGCCACACAGAGCTTGTCCCGTTTTTTTTTTGTTGTTGTTGTATGAAGCTATAAGGGGTGCTGCAATTCTCTGAAAAATATGCCAGTCCAACGTCCCGGAATGCAGCTGATAAACTGTTACTTCATTTTCCATTTCAGTTATGTACTGTACTGCATGTGTTGCAAATATTTGACTCCGAACTGCAAGAAACTTGTACAAATATGTCCAAGTTAACATAGAGTTTAAATACATTCGTATTAATCTCTGAAAAGTGTAATGCAAAACAAAACATGCACACAGAAGTTATTCGCCCTTACTAAGGCCATTAGAGATGACGTAAGGGACTTCTCCTTTCGGCCATAGTCTGTTTCTGGGTTTGACGGCTGCTCTTTTTCGGGAAATATCAACATCCATTCCATGCTCGGCTTTATAACGGACATCGGGAGGAAGAATCATATCTCCCTCGAACAAATCCTTATTATCCACGCCTAAGTTCTCTATGATACAAAATTGAATAAAATCGATTAGTCGATCACTTTTTCATTCAATAAAACAATCATCATTCATGCAATCAACCAATCAATTGTACAATCAATTCTCCAATGAAACCAATCAAACAGTAAGTATTGCTCAACTGATCGGTAGGGCAGTCAATTAATTTCCCAATTAAAAAAGAAGCATAAGCGTGAGAAATTTATGAAACTTTATGTACTTCTATTCTCTTTGATACTACTAATAATTAGTTATAACCTCTTTAAATGGATATGTTTCAATAGAAAACTAATGGCTTGTAACCGACAGCTGCTCTTATAACTAACACGAAAAAAAAAGGGGATTCGGCGTGAAGCGAATTTAAATTAAAACTCAATCTATTTCCCTCAAATCAGGTTAACTTTGTATTGTATAAACATATAAGGTGTACAGCAGTCAGCAAGTGAGAAGAATGAAAAACTGAGACAGCGACACACGTTTTCCCAAATGTGAACATTGCGACCTCTTTTACTCGTGTGTTTTTCTTTCTTCTTTTTCAAGGAAGCAACGTTCAATAATCGAACTACGAGAGACCCCCTCCACCGGAAGAAAGAAGTCTCAAAAATCTGCGCAGGCGTCTCGATATCGTTGCCAGAGTTTAAGTGAATGTGCATGTGTAACTTTATTAAGGCTGCCTAACGATCACTAGCTCCTTTTCTACACTGGGGATCTGAAAAATCCAATCGTTTGATCGCTACACCTAACTCTTTTCCTACCACGTTTGCGCAGACTATGGTAGACCCGCTATGGTATCAGCCAGCGTTGTCTTGGTGTTAACTGACTGTCTTCAGATCTGGCATGATGGTCTTGAGTTGTTTGATAACGTGTGCCATGACTAAGAGGACTGAGTGCACCTCTGGAAGATGTAAGCGAAGGTTAGCATTTGAAGGCGTTCGCTAACCTTTCTGAAGGCTACGTTGATGTGCCAAGATATGCCACGTTTGCCAAACCAATCGGTTCAGCTTTCTCAGTATTTTCTCGGCAAATATTTTATAGCCCAGTCCTGTACAACTAGCACTAATGACTCTTCTAATGACTCGAGGATATTGATCCTTGCAGCATCTTGATTTAAGGAGCGTAGTATGTGAGCCTTCCAAGCCATCGGCAGAAATATTGGACAAGATGGCGGCCGCGCTTGCGCATTTCGTCCATAATGGCGTCCAAAGAATATAAGAAACTGTATGGAAATTTGTAAAATTTCTAAAATATAACAATCAGGAGCTCATGGTACCGTCTGCTCTCGATCGAGACATATTCAGTACTGATTCTGCTATTCATCAAACCTCACAGGGACTCGATTAATAAAAACCACTTACTTACCGAGCCAGTTCTTTCGTCATTGATTATTGACCTAGGTCGCCACACAGTTCTTCAAAATCCGTCGTTATCCATCCCAAAAACTCGCCTATTACAGGAAAGTACATCAATAAAGTCAACTGCTCTCTATCGAATTGACTGCTACAGAGTTCGAAGCGTCCAAATATCCTGTAAAATTGCCATTTCCTCCCATCGAAAAAGTTTCCAACGCGCCAGAATATCCCTTATTTTCCATGTTGAATAAGTGACGAGACGCCATCTTGAAAACTATGACTGAAATAGTTAAACACGAGCAACGCTGATCTTCGAATCGTCGGCCATATTTGTTTATGTTCTTGCAGGGAAATAAATTAGTTCTCGGTCCTTTTCGGAGTAAAAATATGCCAGGTATTGAATGCAAATTCAGTAGTCTTAGCGCGAAAATTAAATTAAAGCAAATCAAAATTTTGACATCATGTCATCGCTCTGCCTCGAAAAATCCCAAAGATTTACTTGCAGGTCTTCTTTTCTTTTTCTTTTCATCAAATAGAAGATCTGCGGTGCTCAAATTGTATAAGTCATGGTACGAAACACTCTTCTTTGCAGATCGAGCTGTGATCGCCGCCATATTGAATTCTCTTGATATTCTATTGTTCTGGAGTGTAATACGATATGTCCTTGATTTCTGGCGATGATAGATGTTTGTTTCAGCTCGAAAGTTCCTCCTTGATCATGACTTCAGGTAACAAGTTATCTGTCTAGGCGATCACTGCTGATTCCATTTCGCTGAGAGTTGACATTAGTTGGTCGCATCGATCACAGGTGTCGTCATGATGATAGCCGCACTGAGCTTCAAAGGCCAGCTCCTTTGGGTCGCTCAACGCAAACAATCTGCAGTGATCAGCCACAGTAGAACTCTGACACACGTGTACCTATAACACACAAAACAAATTACACACGACTGTCTGCTAGACCACATGCAATGCATGTACGTTTTGACGAGCCTGGGTGCTATGTAATTTATATACACAAAAAAGGTAGTCATTGCGAAACTCTGAAAAGTAATCGAATGAAAAAGAAACACAAAGTGCCATAGGCAAGGTAGTGGCGTTTGGCTTCCATAAATCGATAGTTGGTCAGACCACGAATATAACGATGGAGTTTGGAAAAGCGCACCTTATCTGCCAGGATGGAAAGTATTTGGCGACGCATCTCCCAAGTGTTGGAAGTCTGATAACATTAGGCAAGTGCCTCCATCAGCGTCACGTCCACAGTGTCGTCATCAGAGTCTTCATTACCGGAGATCTGGCGGCGCACCACATCTGAGGAACACACTGCGCGGTACAAGGGGCCTGTCTCTTGGGGTGTTATGTCTTGTAATACAGCAATAACACCTTGTCTAGCTTTCCGTGTGTAATAGCGCTTGGTTTCGTAAGCTTGCTTTTGCCCAAGGGGTTTTTAGCTGAGACCTAACCGGACTGACATCTCTGGATACCAAGTATTCGTTTAAGGCATTTAGAGGCTTCCTTTGAGGGATTCGCAGGTCGAAACCGACTTCACTGGAAGAGACTTCATTTGGGGGAAGGTAAATGCTCTCTCTCCTGGCGTGAAAGGAGTGCTGTGTGTTGGGTTATCCTTTTCCTATAAAGTTACAGAAGATACCATTCAACAGAGTATACTTAGTTTTTTTCTGTTTTTCTCATATTTAAGTAACACCCAGTGAATAGGAATCTTGCGAAATTTCGTCGAAAGATTTTAAGTAAACTGTACCGTAGTAGACTGAATGCAAAGGTGTCTATCTTTTTCCTTGATGTTACCAGCTGTCAAGATTCGTGAATATCAAAACAGCTCTCTTCACCATTAGACTGGGCAAACTTACCGAGGTAATGTCACTGACGCTCTCGGTGATGTCCGCCATGCTAGGAGTTCCTGGCGCTTTTACTGGTGTCATGTTAATAGAATCAATGATGGGCCTGCAGTCACGGCATATTCATGGTTAAAATGTATACGTCATATGCTACATAAAACAAATAGCATTCATAGATCATATTAATTTGTTACTCATACTATTTGGTTCAAATAATGGCGTAAAATGATAGCATTCTCTTTTTTAGCTACATGCATGTGAAGTAAATTGCATACATCTTCAAAACAACTGGGCTGTCCTCACATCACCCACAGGTTATTTTAAATGCCGAAATTAACATCTTTCCCTCCAAGTTAATATAATTTCTTACCTGAACCTATTGGAGCAAGCACGCCGGTGCGTTGTAATATAGCTTTAGACTCCGATTTTCTTAAACCACGGTCTGCTTTTCTGATGTTTCCTTTTGAGGCATGCTTAGAAAGCTCTGGTGGAGCTCGGCATCGATTAGCTCCTCTGCGCCAGCCAATTCCGAGAGAAGAGCGATGCGCTGAGCAAATGGTCCACGTTGAAATGTCGCAGGGCAGTTAAAATATTGATGTTCGGGCCAAAATAAGTTCAGTCTCTGAGTGGACACCGTTAATTCCCACACTATGGATATTCTCTAAACTTTCTCTTCTACAAGACGATAGAGGGACAACAACTTCCCCGTCGTATCGTTTGTCAGAAACGCAGACACCTCCAACTTTTTGCTTGAAAGAACAAGTTATCTCCATGATTTGTAGCCTTGTTTAAACTGTGAGAATTCTGGAGACCCTTATCTTGATAAAAACAAGCTAATTCAATTTACGCTCGTGTAATGCGGAAAAGTAGAGTAGGGCATGTTGTTTTTGTACTAAAAAGACCTGTTTTAAGGATTTTTATACTCGTTTATAAAGCGCCGATCTGTGCTTACCACATTTTTTTCATCTCGTGTGGTATGAAAGGTTCACACCAATAAAGTTGGTTTACAGCTATTTCAATTTACGTTGTCGGATCAAAGCCTCAAGCCTACAAGACAAGACCGAAGGGGAATATGGGATCTTAATGAATAATTATCAGCAAAATTAACAATGCCACGTCCATACAGCGAAGATCTCCGATGGCGAGCCATTTGGATGAAAGAAATGTTGGGGTTTCAAGTGGATGAGGTTGTCGGTAATCGGTCTTGTCCCGTACCCTTGAAGCTTTGATCCGACAACGTAAATTGAAATAGCTGTAAATTAATACAAAAACAAACGTTGTTTCTTTTTGGGGGCTTATCGAAAATATGTGCAAATTTAGCGATAAAACTGATTTCGCCGTCTCCACAAAGTAGCAAAGTAGCAAAGCTTTACTGATTGTTAACGAAAACGAGAGGATACAACGCAGCTTGAACACTTGCATATCATTAACTGATTCTTTTATTTTGGCATGAAAAAAAAATGCAAAAAGAAATGTTATTTTTTATTTCAAAGAAAACATGAAAGAAAAAAAAACGATTAGGTCGCAAGGCCATTATTGTGAATAAACAGACAAATTGTTAACCCGGGTGGGACTCCCACACATAAATGACCGGGGTGCTCGTCGGAGAATTTCTAAAACACACCCAAAATGAACCAAAATCGTGTTTCGTGGGCGTGGCCCAGATTCATTTTGAGGTACTAATAATTCCAAAAATATAAGTTATTTGCGCAAATACACCTACGGTCTTGTCATTTTCCCGGAGCGATAACCATAAATTCCCCTAAACTGCAGCAACTCTAGCGGCGGTTGTTAGCGACAAAAATAAAGCGAAGAGCCACGGCCCTGGTTTAAAATTTACAATTTATCAAGGAAGAACGAATGAATATTATTATTTTTTGTGCCCACGATTCTGTGTTGTGTAAATTTATCGGGGGAAATGTTTGTTATCTATACGGATTAGTTTTATCGGTGTTTAGATCTGTGGCGCTTATATTGCTGTCTGTTAACGTCCTCTTAGTAACGAAAGATATGTTATTTATTCACAACACCTCCTACAATTTACAGTTTACCTCCGTGCAATCAGCATTCGCGTTTCAATTTGGTTCTTCCGTTTCTGCAACAACGTACCAAAATTTTACAGCGTAATTAGTCTAATTATTATTGACTTGCACCTCGGCCTCTTGTGGGAATATTATTGCGTGACAGGTGAATTTATTCATAATTACACACTGGGGATCGGAATGTAGGAAAATAGTAATTCGCGGGGTATTTTGTTTGAGCTATTGTAGGTTTACCGTTATAAAATGTAATTAGTTCAATTTTCGTTTCAAGGGAGGTAAACGTGTAACGAAAGTATGCAAGACAATATAAAAGAGGTTCTAAAAATCTTGTGGAACGAGTCAAGATTGCCATCGATTGCCTTTATTGACCTTTACTCAGGCGGTTAGTTCTACAGTAAAAACCCGCGTATAAGAACCTAGTGATTTAAGAACCTACAGGCTGAAATTTTGCATTTTAATACCCAAATATATAAGAACCTATTCAGCCTGACAAAGAAAAATAGGTTCTAATGTAAAAAAACACTCCAGATTTGATGTTCAAATTCTGGATTTTAATTGTGAAAAGTTTTGTAGTGTACTGCTTTTTAGTAAAATATTATTCATTTCATAAAACTCTGCTGTAGTTACAAATACAGTCACAAATACTGTGCAGTACACTGTATATACTGTAAATAGCTAGACATGTTTTGTTCTGTACAGCATGGATTTGATTGGTAAACAAGGCAGGCATATTTTTCCTGTTGAAATTTGCATGGTGATCATACAACTGTAAATATGGTCAGGCCCATGATACAGGACTTGTTTCGACAACAAGGCTTGACATTTTTGTAAATGCTTTACAATTATAGCATATTAGTACTATTGTAGTTCCCCGAATCCTATCACTATAATAACTTTTGCAAATAAAAACTTACTAAGAACCTAATCAGCCTGTTATTGGAAAAAATACCTCAAAATATAAGAACCTGTTCAGCCTGAACTCCAAAATTCTAGGTTCTTATACGCGGGTTTTTACTGTACGCCGACGTGGCTAGAACTAACCTGAAGTATGAAGAAATTTTTCTCCAAGGTAAGCTTAACGTGACCTTTCTGTTGTACGTTTTCTTTCTCAAGGAAAGAAGGATTCATTTCGATGTAAACAAATATTTTGTTGAAGGCATGCGTTTATCGTTACCAGCTGTTGACAGTTAATTGATGTGATTTTCCCAATTTTTAAAGCGTCGGTGCTTGGTCCTCGTTGAAAGCCCGGAATTGAATTAAATACCTGCTTTTGTAACAACATTTCTTCTTCCAAAAATTCTAAATCTCAAGCGATTCAGTGCTTTACCGGGCAAAAAAAATGTCGCTTTAAAAAGTGCACGAAATAAAGAGTTTTCAGTACGCGAATTTTAGCGATTGTTGAAAGCTTCCCGTGGCCTAACAATTCAAATCTACAGGTCTTTAAATTGACTTAAAAACTTGGTTAACCTTCAAAGAGATATTTCTATGTGTAAAACAGGGTTTTAATGCGATGCGACTCAGATCAGAGCAGATTGTTTGAGAGGGTATGAGATATGTTTATTTCAGCGGTTTTCATGACACGTGGGGTGTTCTAAGTTTTAATTCTTCTGATTTTAAAATGTATATTTAAACAAATTAAATCCACCACGTTCCTTGGCCTACCATAGGGTATCTTCAAAAAATTATCAAGGAAATTGGTTTTCTATTATGTGCCACCTTCCGCTTGGTGTTAGTGGACATTAATTGCTTAAAAACTGTGATAGCTAGAAAATCACTGAAAAGTTCAAAAAAGGGGAAACAATTCAAAACTCCGAACCTCAGCTTCGAAAAACTATGATCTACTCTGGCATAATTACAAGAGATTATTAACAACCTTACCTTCAGGATTTTCCGATGCAACAAAGACTGCTGTCATCAACAGGGTGAAGCACAGACACTTCATGCTTCTTTGCCTTCTCAGTCAGCTTAAGTTTGCTTGCCTGTGAAAACGTCTGCTATAAACTGATGCTTCTCGTGGTCAAGCTGTTTCTTATAGTTTATCTCGTTGACAATTCAATAAGTGATTCAAAAATAGTGTGGAAATGGGGTGACTCTCCTTGTGTTTGTCGCTAGTGAAAACCAGGCTTGAGGGATACCGAGATCCAATATTACATTTAAGATTGTCCTCGCAGCAAAATGGTAGTCATTACTCCATTGAAATAAAATATGATTAGGTGCAAACAAACCGCGTAATATTTATTGCTTACACCTAATGTAAGCAGACCAACAAATCAGAACGGAACTGAACAAAGGTGACTAAAATATCTTGATCAATATTATTACGCCGTTTACACTCCGACGTCAAATCGCATGGCACTTTTCAAAAATGTCGCAGGGAGTAATGCATTTGTCAATCTAACTAAAATAGTGAAGAGTCTATGAAATGCAAGTTACTAAAAGTGACTCTTTTTAATTTTGAGGTTGTAATGAAATCTCTGGGGACCTATTTTTATTATCACAAAGATATGCAGCCAAACAAATGGATGTGACTACCAAGAAAGGGGATTTCGGCATTTTGCAACTTAAACTAAAAATTTCAGAGCATAACAGGTTGTTTTTTTAATCAAATTTTTGCTATTTTGTTGCGTTATAGAGTGGTACAATTGTTTTTTCGTTTGTTTTTTCGTACCTTAGGTTTTGAATAACTTTAATTTGATCCTGCATGAACCTCCTGGAGGCACAATATAGGTGGGCATATATCTAAGAGTATCACTGGCAGTGATGCATATCTTGAGACAAATTTCCTGAGATACACACTAAAATATCTAGCTTATCACTGCACGACAAACGAATGCTTCAAATTGCGCACATACACAAAATACTAAAAATGTTGCTGTATCAGTAAGGACGTCTATGTTACTCCAATATGAGAAGCTACAAGGCTTTGAGGTAAAGCCTAATAACCAACTATTTTTGTGTCATAGAACGGTACAATTGTTTTCATTTCGTTTTTTGTACCTTAGGTTTTGAATAACTATGATCGTGCATGAACTTCCCGGAGGCACAATGTAGGTGGGCATATATCTAAGAGTATCACTGGCAGTGATGGATATCTTGAGACAAACGTCCTGAGATAAACACTAAAATATGAAGCTTATCACCACAAAAAATATGCATGCTTCAAAAAGTGCAAAATACAAAATACTAGTAATGTTCCTTTTTAAGGACGATTATGTTACTCCAATATGAGAAGCTACAAGGCTTTGAGATAAAGCCTAATAACCAAATCGACCCTCATAGAGTAGCGAGGATCGTGAAAAGCAAGGAGTCCCTTCATCAACTAGCAAAAGTAGTACATTGCAAAATCATTGATGCAGTAATGCGGCTCAGTTTGTTTAAGTACAGAGTTCTGATTGGTTATTATTTCCCTTTTCTTAGGCCGGGTTCCAGCAATGCATTTCAGTAGGGAACTCCATGAGTTAGCTTGTTATTTATCCATTTATCCAGTTATCCATTTATCTAATCTGTCCATCCATCCATACAATATCCCTCCATCCATCGAATCCATCCATGAGGGTCTGGATGGGGTTAACTGACAACTGACAAATGGCTAAAGTTTTAATTGACAACTGACAAAGTGCTGATAATCTAACTGACAACGTTTGTGGTGGGCTCATACTGACAGCTGGCAAAAAGACTGGATCGCCCTAAATATCCTAAAAATTGGATGTGAAATAGGGACAGTTGATTAATTTTGTCCAATAAAAGTTCGTTTTTATTTGATATCAGTAGGGGTACTCCAGAGTGTCATATTTCGTTAATAATTACCGCATGGAGTATCCACATTAAGGTCATATATCACATGTCGATTATGTGACCTTTGATACCCAACTCGATCGTCAACTTACGCGATGGCCGTCAATGCTAGTATTTTAAAAGCTGTTGTAAGCTTTTTTCGAATTGGTTCGGACACGGCATTTGAGTGTCACAAAGGCTGCATTCCTGATAATGATGTAAACACCTTACTAGCGCCTAAAAAAATACCCTCTTTCGTTTCTTGGTCTAAAGGAGTTGTCCAGTAAATGTGGCCTCGGAGATTTTGATGGGTTAAGTATTGTACATTAATCTACTGTACCACTCATGGTAGAGAGAAAATTGACCTCGTACCCAAGTCTCTTCCGCGGCCGTGTCCAGAGCATTTCTAGAGAGAAGAGAAGCGAACTCGGAAATGCAGGTAGAAAACACTCGTGTTCAGCGAACTGCACGGGGAGTTTTGGTATTGAGACATGTCCCAGGGTGCAATGATCTTAGATCTTAAACTATAGTTGAAAAAATGCCGATCGGGAGGATTTTCGGGGCGCAAACCGCGTGGACAACAGTCGAAATCGGAGTGTGATGAAAAAGCAAGCTTTAAAACGGCAGAAATCGCATGAAACCACAGCGGACACACAAGATGTGAGTAAGTTTTATTGATTTTACGTGTAAAATGTTCATATTTCGAAATATTTTTGGTTGTAAATCGACCATATTTTGTTCTCCAAACAATACCTTGTAACGTGTTTAAATTCTTAACGGTTCCTCCCGAGTCACATAACGCACGACGCTCTCATGAATTAGTCGTTTGCTTTTTCTCAATGCATGAGCTTAGGCCGCCTGTGGTGAAAACTTATCACATACCTCCGTAATCTCGGAAATCCTTGTATAACACTGCAGTTTATCTGATAAATCTCATTTATCGCGCGATAAAATTGAATTTAAAAAGTAGATAGCTTTTCCTCCGTGGGCCACCGTAAAGATGAGATTTATTGCGCGAAAAATTGAATTCATAGAGTGGATAGAGTGTCCGCTAAGCCACCTTATGATTGGCTGTCACGCACGTTGTTTCCGTGGACGAGAGGAGAATCGCTGCAACAGTCGAGGAGGTATGTTTTGAGTTCAATAGTTCTTCTAATTTTCGTGAAAAGATCATTGAGTACTACTTTGCAATACTTCTACAATACATAGCTCTGTGAATCAGTCCAGTAATCAAGAAAAGTTGCTCAACATTGATAACAATGGACTTTGTCAGTGCAGTGCACTTGTTTGAATTGTGATATGCGCGAAGCGAACCAAGCTTTTCGTTCTAATGAGAAGGAGGTCTGCACTCGAGCAAATTTCCTATTCACATTAGAACCGTTCCCGGTTTTTATGGCATGAAAAGACAAGCGGTGTTGCAATTCCCATTGAAAGCGCTGTTAGTCCAGCTTCCCGAGGTCCAGCACTCTTACCAACACTGCACTCTAAAGCTTATCAGGGGACATGATAGCAAAAGTAGAGCAGAAGGTGCAATATTTATCTTTGGTGCTCTAGGGAGCAAAAAATTGCGATCATTTGGAGAATTTTAAAGACGATATATCTTATTCACCCTTTACCAGGACTGTTATCGATTACATATGGAACTTCTCCTGACGGCCATAGTCTGCTTCTGATCGAGCCTCTTTTGCGGGAGCTATCAACATCCATTCCGTGCTCGGCTCTATAGAGGACATCCGCAGGAAGGATCATATCTCCCTCGAATAAATCTTTATCGTCGACACCCAGATTTTCTATGATAAAAAAAATTGAACACAGACGATAAATCAATCATTTAATACTGAATTTAAATAGTCATTCAGTAAGTCGATCTCTATTTCTTTCAGTCAAATAATAAATCATGCAATGAGGCAATTAATTGTCATTATACTAATTGTCTAATTCTTTATTAAAAAAAAAGAACAACAACAGCAAAACAAATAACTTCCATTCTGCTTGATCCTACTAACCAGTCGCAGGAACAGAAGGCCCTTATATTCAACCTTTTCGTGGTGGCTTTATTTTAATAGCAAACACATGAGTGACAAGTTTTGTTTTTTAAAATGACAGCTACACGTATAGCGGAGCTCGCAGAGCGTAGATCCATAATAATAAAAAATGGTAGTAGTAACCCATCAAGCCGAAAAAATTTGGATTTATGACCGTTCGACCGTACGACCGACCGTACAAGGTGCTACTTTTAACATGCGTAGTCAACTCTACTACGGGCACGTCAACGCCACGGCTTTGTCCAGTAGTCCAGTGGTCAGTGCACTGGGCTCCAAGTCGGACGACCTGGGTTTTATTCCTGGCCGGAGCAAGGCGTTGTGCCCTTGAGACGTGCGGGAAAAAAAATGCGAGCTCCGCTTTTAGGCTTGGCTAAATCTATATGTTATTTAACGCATAAAAACGATTCGTTGTGATGCGAAGCGATAATCATGACTATCACCAATAGAATCAGATAGACTTGGAATCACAATAATATCAAAGATTCTGTTTTATTCTGTGACAATCGAAGTCTTAGAAAGTGTTTTCATGTAGTGATTATCACACAAAGCGCCCAAATAATCAAGCTGCAGATCTTTTAGTTTCCTTCGGCGTGCCAATTTAATTTCTTAAAAGAAACTGTGACAGCTAGAAAAATCGTTGATCAGAAAACAACAGAAGCTAAATGGAAAGTTCAAAAAAGGAAGAAAATGCAAATGCATTTGAGCCTTCGCTTAAAGAACTATGATCTTCTTTGACATTATTACAAGGACTCATCGAACAACCATTGTTTTGTTAATCCTTGTTCTCTTAAGTTTCGTTTCTAGTGAAGACTTAAGCAGTAAGCTTATGCTCCATGTGGGAAAGCTGCCTTATAGGTTAATGCTCGATGATCCAATACGTATTTGCTGAATTTGGCCCGTTAAAATTGTAGCTAAACTTTTGTAGAAATAAAGTGATCTCTTACACAGGACGAATGATTTTATTTCGGTGCCTTTAGGCAAAATATTAAGCATCCTTATTGGTTGAGTAAAGCTGTAATCGTCTTTAATTGTCGAATGAAATATCCGAAAGCTAACACTAACCTTTTATGAATCTTTAATTGAACATAGGTTTAACTTTAATTACGCAAATCTTTCGGTATCCTTTAAGTGGTCTCTTTTTTGGCACAAAAGAGGGTGTCTAATTAAGATACATTTAATTTGACTTTAAGGTGAGATTTAAATGAGTCTCGCTGTTTTGACATCTTTAATTGCGCATCAAAGATAATCTCATAGTTATCTGAACTGTCAATAGAAAATTCACCCCAAATTATCCAACAGATTCATTGATGAGCAAGAAGAGCAAATTTTGTTCAACGTGCAACAGCAACTTTGTCGTGCTCACTATTCTTTATGGGGTCGAAACATCTGCATTGAAAGCGACGGTCTTCATTTTT